TACTTCTATTTGAAAAAATGATCTATCATTTAAGAAGGCATCATGCTATTGTTTTTACTTTGTTGTAATATGGTCCACACTTACTCTTGCTTTTTATAGGACGTTTCTGTTGATTAATACCAGGAAGGTCTTTGCTGCGTTAGTGATGTTGTCTGCCAGCTGTGCATATTTTTGCTTGTAGCAACCTTTGGCAGTCTTGGATTTTAAGTGGAAATTTAAAACAAATCTGCTTCCTTCTTCTCAATTAAAAGCTACTCTTATCTTTCCAGCCAAACAGGATTTGCCTTTTCAGTTTGCAAATGAAGTGTATATTTTAGGCTGACCTTAGAGGGGTAGAATACTCAGAGAAGTTGCCAGGACTTGTGGAGGTCATTAGTTCGGCTTGGCCAGTGTTCCGAAATGATGTGTGCTGTGAAAATCCCTTTCACTTTTCTTCATGGAAATGGGCAGGCACCTGCTTAGTGGTTTTACAACACTTTCTAAATCTGTACCACGACGACGACTGCTTCCAGTGGTTAGAAGTGTTTATTGCCCTCTAAAGAGTCCATACATGGGCAAATACTTGCATTGAGCAGAGATCTAGATTCATGGTTCACAATTTACTGTTTATATAGTTCCCCTCTGTCGTACTGCCAACAACGCTTCATTGAATTGAGGATTCAATGGATTGAGTGCAAAGCACATGCGTCGCTTCACCCGGGAAGATTTTAACAGCCGCTTGAGGTGCTGTTATGCTTTAACCATTTATTAGCTAGGGATCTTTTAGGTTCCCTTGACTGAAGAAATGTTAACTATCCACCATTTTTTCTCAATGAGTTGTGTGGCAGAGTGCTGAGTCTGATTTTTTTGCTCTGCACTTCTTTCTCTCTGTCTCTGGCAATTGATTGTGAAGTAACAGTGATAAATGGATGGCAGACAGTACATTTAGCTCCATGTGTGAAAACAGCCCAAAGCATTGGTCTCCAACCAATGGCTTGGAAACCGCTGGCATCTCTAGTTTGCTTGTAGCAAACTCTTGATGGCTACCTGCTAGCTACCTGCCTCAGCAACCACTTGGGGAACTATGGGAATCCTCAGACTTGAGTTATTCCAAATATACATTACCATTTTCCTGCACAGAAAAAAATAGGAGCATATCCCAATAAAATGGTTTCTGTGATTATACCCCAAGGGTAAGTAACATCCAGCTGTCTCTTTTCTGCATCATTCCTCCTATTAACTGATTCGTAATAACGATTCAAAGGACTGACTTTTAGAGATTTATTTACTAGGTGTAAGTTCATGCAGGTGGAATAAAATTGCTCAGTTGTTTTACTTTTTTTTTTTTTTCCATTTTCTGAATGGTATCAAGTAATATCAGTTGTTTTATCAGTATAGTGTACTGTACTACTTATATATACAAACGTTGTATTAAAAACGAAGTTTCTGTTGATTGTCTTCTTATTAAAGTGTTTGAAAGCCATTTTTTTTTACATATAGAACAAAGTAGGGAATGGTTAAGACCCTTATCCATTTTTTTTTTCTGTTTATCATATCGGGAAGATTTCACTTCCTATCCCAGGTACACAACAGGAAGTAGGAGATCTCTCCAAAGCAAGGGGATATATCCTGTTAGTTGTCACCAAAACAGGTGTCCCCATTGGAAGATTTCCCCTTACTATCTGTTCCTGTCGCAACTTAACTTTTAGATGTTTTTTCACTTTGTGTCCGAGACAATGGTCATTAAGATTGATTGATACTGGGGGCACAAACAACAATAAAAATCAGGGTTCTATCTAAAATGAACAAAAAAAAAGTTTGTCTTTATGTATACTTCAATTATAAATTCATGATATGAAGGTGTTCTTATGTTGAACTAGAAAGCCCCATAGATGTTTGTACTCTACCTAACATATCACTTTTAAGCTGTATGCACCTGTTGAATGTTTTTATCTTGTAGAGTACATTTTAGACTCCTATAGTATGGATCAATATACATATAGACTCACTGGCCACTTTATTAGGTACACCTTGCTAGTACCTGGTTGGACCCCCTTTTACCTTCAGAACTGCCTTAATTCTTCATGGCATAGATTCAACAATGTGTTGGAAACATTCCCCAGAGACTTTGGTCCATTTTGACAAGATAGCATCACGCAGTTGCTGCAGATTTGTTGACTGCACATCCACTATGCAAATCTCCCATTCCAGCACATCCCAAAGGTGCTCTATTGGATTGAGATCTGGTGACTGTGGGGGACATTGGAGTACAGTGATGTCATGTTCAAGAAACCAGTTTGAGATGATTTGAGCTTTGTGAAATGGTGCATTATCTTGCTGGAAGTAGCCATCAAAAATGGATGGGCATGGTCAGCAACAATACTCAGGTAGACTGTGATGTTTAAACGATTCTCAATTGGTAGTAAGGGGCCCAAAGTGTGCCAAGAAAATATCCCCCACGTGCCAAATTCTAACACTACCATCTCAATGTTGCAACTGAAAACAGAGGACTCTTCAGACCAGGCAATGTTTTTCCAGTCTTCTATTCAATTGTGTTGAACCTGTGCAAATTGTATCCTCCATTTCCTGTGATTAGCTGACAGGAGTGGCACCCAGTATAGTCTTCTGCTGCTGTAGCCCATCTGCTTCAAGGGTCGACATGTGTATTCAGGGATAGTATTCTGCATACCTTGGTTGTAACGAGTGGTTATTTGAGTTAATGTTGCCTTTCTATCATCTTGGACCAGTCTGCCCATTCTCCTCTGACATCAAAAAGGCATTTTCGTCCACACAACTGCCGCTCACTGGATATTTTCTCTTTTTCGGACCATTCTTTGTAAACCCTAGAGATGCTTGGATGAAAATCCCAGTAAATTGGCAGTTTTTGAAATAGTCAGGCCAGCCTGTCTGGCATCAACAACCATGCCACATTCAAAGTAACTTAAATCCCCTTTCTTCCCTATTCTGATGCTCAGTTTGAATTTCAGCAAGTCGTCTTCATCATGCCTAGATGCCTAAATGCATTGAGTTACTGCCATGCGATTGGCTGATTAGCAATTTGTGTTACCAGGCAGTTGAACAGGTATAACTAATAAAGAGGCTGATGAGTGTATTATATACATTATATAGTCCTATATAGTCATGTTTGCATGTAGTTGGAAATCAAAGATTGGCAATCTCTCAGTTAAAGCTGCATGTTAATGCCAACATTTTTTTGTGATTTTCTAGTGGTAATATTCATCTATTGGACTTGTTAGATCAGTATTCTGTGTATGTCGTGGTGAAATATAAGGTTTACTAGACATTTTACGCAAGTAAACCTCACAGTGCTCAAGGCAGGAAATAGCCTAATATGCAGTTTCTTGGCTCCAGGTTTGAGACATATGTTAAACAAAGTGTTCGCAAACAAAATTAATAATGATGAATTGCTACTAGATGAGTTGGCACACTGCTCTAAATGCATGGGGAAAAAATGAAACTACTACGATTACTGGACTGCAGAGGTCTAAGTTTCCAAAGATAAAAAGGATAATTCAAAATGACCAAAAGAAACATTTTTCCTGCTGTAATTGTGTTAGCAGGAAAGTTGCCTTGCTGCAGTATTTCTAAATATATGCCTTTGTGTGAGCATGCAGACTTCCACCAAGTTGGGTACATGGTGGCTTTCTGCTGTAGGAATCTAGAGGAATGACAATGCTTGGACACATGGTGGCTCAAACTATTCTTCAGGCATTTTCTTTGTTTGTAACATATAATTTATATATTTTACATTTTACCTTAATGTGTTTAAAACTGTGCAAAAAAACAAAAAAAAAAAACAAATTTAATTTAAAAAAAAATTAAAACAAAACCAAACTCATAAGTGTAAATATCGTTTAATGTAAGCAAGTAATTTCTTCTGTTTCACTGATACTTTTAATAAATGAGCCCCATTCTTTGTAAATAATTAAATGCTGATCTATTCTTTTTTATTATGCATGTATGCACCACAGCCTTAGCTGCGAAAACATTTGCATAATGTGTATTTTGTACTAATTATTTAAAGAGTAGCTTCAATTCACAGATGGCTTAACAAAGAGCAGCGTTTTTAATTTACACATAAATATACACAGTATATATATTTTCATCTTGGACTGAATGCGTTTTTATAGCTTGATAGATTTTTTTTTTTTTTTTTTCATTGTAAACCGAAAATAAAAACCCATTTCTCATTTGATGACCTACAAAAGGAAGCAACTACTGCTCTACTGCTTCCATGGTAAAGAAGACTGTGACTATTGCATGTTTCATTAGACTATACTGTAGGTCAGTGGTTCTCAACCTTCCTAATGCCGCGACCCTTTAATACAGTTCCTCATGTTGTGGTGACCCCCAACCATAAAATTATTTTCGTTGCTACTTCATAACTGTAATTTTGCAGTGGGAGGAGTAGTGCCACATCATTGGTGTCAGTGAGAGGAGTAGTGCCACATCACTGATGTCAGTGGGGGGAATAGTGTCCCATCGTTGGTATCAGTGGGAGGAATAGTGCCCCATCATTGGTGTCAGTGGGAGGAATAGTGCCCCATCATTGGTGTCAGTGAGAGGAGTAGTGCCACATCACTGATGTCAGTGGGAGAAATAGTGTCCCATCGTTGGTATCAGTGGGAGGAATAATGTCCCATCATTGGTATCAGTGGGAGGAATAGTGCCACATTGTTGGTGTCAGTGTGGGAGGAATAGTGCCCCATCATTGGTGTCAGTGGGGGGGGGGGAATAGTGCCCCTTCATTGATGCTAGTGTGGGGGGGGAATTGTGCCCCATCATTGGTGTCAGTGGGTGTGATAGTGCCCCATCGTTGGTGTCAGTGGGGGGAGGAATAGTGCCCCATCATTGGTGTCAGTGGGGGGAGGAAGAGTGCCCCATCGTTGGTGTGAGTGGGGGGGGAGGAATAGTTCCCCATCGTTGTGTCAGTGGGGGGAGGAAATAGTGCCCCATCATTGGTGTCAGTGGGAGGAATAGTGCCCCATCATTGGTATTAGTGACACCAATGATGGGGCACTATTCCTCCTACTGACACCAATGATACTTACCTTGCTGACTCCTGCTCCAGCCTGGGCTCGCTCCCTCCCTCCCTCTCCCATCTACAGCCAGCATACCTGGCTGCAGCAGCACCATCTGCACGCTACAGACACTTACCTGTCAGCTGTCTTCCTTCTCCGGCCGCTCCCTTGCTCGATCTTCGTTGCTGCTGCTGCTCGGCTCCTCCGACTCGCCAGTGATTGGCCGCCTGTGTGCCTCTCCTGAGCTACAGTTCCGGAGGCCAATCACTGACGAGGAGGCGGAGCTGTTGAGTGATCCCAGGGATGTGGCCAAATGACAGGGGGCGGCATGTCATTCCACGCGCACATCGCGGTCCAGGGAAATGTGGACGTATCTGCATGTGGGCGGACCCGCCTGGAGACTGATAGAGGAGTGGTGTCTCGGTTCCTAAGACCATCGGAAATATGTGTTTTCCGATGGTCTTAGGAGACCTCTGTGAAAGGGTTGTTCGACCCCCAAAGGGGTCGCGACCCACAGGTGATCAATATCATACTGTCATGCTACAGGAAACTACTGTGTTGTTTCACTAAATGCAAATAGACTATTCATTTTGGAAGGAAAATGTCCCTTGGCGGGGGAACATAGAAAGCCGCATTGCCTGACTCCATGCCACGGTCGCTCCGGTCCTGCAGCTCCTGACAGAGGGAGAAGCGGGAGGCTGTAGCCCATGCAGCCCACAGCTGTGCTTCTCCCCTGTCACAGTGTGCCTCTTTTATTAAGCTGTCTGGGAGAGCAAGTGGGGGTATCGGCTGCACCCGATAAAACTTGGACACTATTTGTGGGCAGCGTGGGCTCAAGGGGCAGCTGCTTTGGGCCCCAGAACAATGACCGGGCCCAGGGCAGCTGCCCCTTTTGCCCTCTTGCCCTGCGTTAAAGATGGCCCTGGTTTTGGTCATAGAGAATCTTAGGTGTCTGCTTTTCCACTACAGTCCCAGGACTGACCATGGGTTTTGCAAACAACTGAAGTGAATGTGAACTTCTACATTGAGCCCATTATATCTGCAACATAGTTCTGGATATGCATTAGTGGTTATCACATATTCTTGTGACCCAAGCAGCAGCTTATAATTGCACAGTAAATGTAACACTCTCATGCATATACTAGGGCAGTCATGAATTCACGTTTCAATGTTTTGCCATGAATTGGATTGAATTGGTTTTTGTTTTAAAACCCTTCTGTGTATTCCCTGTCCATGTGTATATACATAGACTTCCCATGCCTAATGTTGCATATCATTACCATTTTACTGAAATACAGTATGTATTGTTTCTCTGAGCTGTCCTTGCATCTTAAAGCCTAAGTGCAGCCAAAATAAAAAAAAAAAAAAAAAAAATCAGTGCAAGGAGATAACTTAGAGACAGCAAGATGTGTCCCTTGTGCTGATGCCTCTTCTTTTAGTTGAAATTCTCCTCTGTCCACGTCTCCCCTCCACCTCACCACCACCACCACCATTATCTTCAGGTGCAGTTGTGTAAGGGGCCGTCACAGGTTTTCATCAAGAGTGCCAGACTGTGCTCACCCTCTCTTCCCAACTGCTCCACAGAAGCTGGCACTACAGCTTTTATAAATGAAACAGAATCTAGAGGTGAATGGAGGTGATAATCCACCTTTACTTCATTCTTAGATCCTGTTTCATTCATAGAAGCTGTACTATGGCTTCTCTGGTTGGAGCAGCTTGGTGTAAAACACGGGCATAGACAGGCTTTTTCCTGTGACAGTTCCTTAGTTGTATTAACCACCACCACAACAGAAGATCAAGGTGGGGGGGGGGCAGGTAGGATGGATGGAGGGAGCTTTCAACTAAAAGAGACATCAGTACAAGGAACACATCCTACTGACTGTAAGTTTTGTCCCTTGTGCTGATTTTTCACTTTCAGTAAATTTTTTATTGGGCAGCAGGAATGTAGCTGTCCCTTGTGCTAATTTTTTCAGTTTTTTTTTTATTTTGGCTACACTTAGGCTTTAAGTGTGGATGCTGCCAATTCACAAAAAATCTACTTTTTGAAAAATATCTGATATTTCTTTGTGAAACTATAGGATTACCTTTGCTGACTAACTGCACAAATAGGAAAAAAAAATCACAGAAAGTTATTTCAGCCTCTTGAATTTCCGTACATTTTTGTTTTCAAGTACTTTGACAAATTCTTCCTCCTTTTTTGCTTTTATTACATCTCATTATGCTGTATTTTTATTGTTTGGAAGGTCATATTTTATGTGCTTCAGAACAGAAGCTAATACAAATCTACCCTAAAGCAGAGCCAGAGACATGAAGTTTTTTTTTTTTTTTTTTAAATCGTTCAAGAAAAAAAAACTCCCTTTTGAGAAAACTAGGATTTACAGTCAATTTCACAGCAAAATATAATGCAGCGAAAATCTTGTGTATTTTCAGCTAGACTTTTTTTTTTTTATATTAAAAAGGAAAGAATAACACCATAGAAGCTGACTTTCTATCACTAAGTGGACTTGAAAAAGAAAGACGTGGGTTACAGTTTGGGATCAAATTAATCTGATGGACTATTTCTTCGATTACACCAAATGCACTGACTGGAAGAATTCTCAGTGGTCTTGAAAGCTTTCAGTGCTTCATACAGTATCTGTTTTATCTCATTCTTATTCTGTCTTGCTGATGTTAAGCAGGTTTCAAAGTCCTGAAGTGTCTCTTCACTTGGAAGGAACACTTAGTAGAGCTGTTTAAATAACTGATACTCTGCAAGAACCACTAGTGAAAGAAGATAACATATAGAAAACCTTTCTTGGCGAAGGTGATGGCTATATAATGTATAATGTTTTTATGGGTTTTTTTGGTTTTTTTTTTTTTTTTTTTTTTTTTAGGTTGCTTGCATACAAGTTGAATTTTAAAGTGCATCTACATTGTAGCTTCTGTGGCCACAAATATAATTTCTTGTGCTACTTTAAGATGTTATTCCTGGGGGTGGAGGTCTACCAGGGAGAGCAGCCCAAATGAAGGGGGTTATGGTGTAAAACATGGCCACACACAAAATTTTAGCTAAAATCTAACTAAAAAAAAATACTCAAAATATAAGAACAAGGTTCTCTGCAAAAATTTACCAGGTAGAATAACAGACATGAAAATAGTCAGCACAATGGACATGCAACCAAAAACATACGCAGTGAGGTTGATTTTAATAAAATGCAAAATCTGGTGCAGCTGTGCATAGAACCAATCAGCTTCCTGGGCTACCCAAAGTATTGTAATAAATGTAGAATTACCTATAGCAAAAATGTAACTGTTCCCTTCAAATGTTTAAACTAGAGCATGTTTTTTGGGAAGAATTTGGGATCAAGCAATGTATAAAAATGTAAAAGAGCCCAACAGCAAATAGAACAGTGGACAGTAAAATACAACAAAAGCAAACTAGTAATATTAAAATAGTATAACATACAGTAAATCCAAAAGATGTATATATCCAAAAGATATTACATATCTTAAGACTACAAATAAATTCCTAAGGATCTAAATTTCAAACTAATAAAACCAACCTAAACAAAACAAATGACACAAATTCCGAAAGTGTATAGATTAAAATGAAAAAGATTTTAGAAAAGGAAAAGCATAAAGCAAGAACCCAGGGCAGTCTGTTACTTCTTGAAGGTCAAGTTCATAGCTCAAATGGAGGGAAGGACTATACAGTACCAGCAGCGCCATGATGCCACTTCTCAGGAGATGTGGGGCAAACTTTTTGTGTATGTGTTTTAAAAATAGTAGCCAAATAAATTTTGGCTCAAATGGTAAGGCAACCCAAAAATGTTGGACAACTACCTTTTAGTTGAGTGCAGATCAACTGATGTAATGGGTATATGTTTACTGGTAGATATGACAAGCAAAATCTTTTTAAGGGGAATGGCAACTAAACAAGTCAGAAAACTTTTTAATTCCCTTCAGATAAGCCAGCACCAGAGGTGTCAGCAGTGTGTCCCCGAAACTGTGCTCCAAATGTTCAAAAAGGTTTTTAAAAGTTATAAAATGTTTAAGGTTTCTGTGTGTACACAATCCTTATTTTTCAAATTAATATTGTTTACATGACAAAAGATTCCTAGAGCACCATGGGTTTTCTTAAGACAGAAAATAGCAGTAGCTTTCTGATTGGAGCCTTAGAGGGAGCTGCAAGTAGGAAGGGCTGTCAGAAGGTTAACCACTTCCAGTCCGGACACTTTTACCCCCTTCCTGTCCAGGCCAATTTTCAGCTTTCAGCGCTATCACACTTTGAATGACAATTGCGCGGTTATGCAACACTGTACCCATATGAATTTTTTAACATTTTTTTGAGACAGATAAAGCTTTATTTTAGTGGTATTTATTCACCACTGGGATTTTTATTTTTTTTTTGCTATGTAAATGGAAAAGTCCAAAAAATATAAAATTTTGCAAATAAATAGTATTTCATCATAAATCTTGGCCAAAATTTATTCCGTTATCTTTTTTAGTAAAAAAATAACCCAAATTAGTTTATAACCAAAGATTATAATTTTTAAACATTTTTTTTTATATTTGTGTTTTTTTTTATTTTTTTTTTATTTTTACATATGGTCACCCTAGCAGTAGGGGGGTGATGATGTTTTTTTTTTTTTACACTGATTGCTTTTACACCCATAAAGGCTGTAAAAGCAATAATTTCTCCTTCTCTCTAGCTGCATTTTTGCAGCCATTGAGAACTACTGTGTGAGCTGTGATTGGTCACAGCTTATCACATGGTATAAGACTGTTGTAAATAGCCTTGTACCATGTGACCTCTGTGATCCTTCACAGATTTCACACGTAGTAAGCAATGATGTCAGAAGTGACATATTGCTTACTACTCTGCATGTGATCACTGATTGGCCAATCAGTTATCACATGATTGGGACCTCGCACAGAGGTCCAGTCCGGCGATCGGTGTTCCACTGTGTCCAGAGGACACAGCAGGCGTCGGATCATGGTGCTGCGCGCTCCCAGGGAGCGCACACAAGAAGGTGCGGGGAGTCCATTTACAAATGGCCACCCGACCCTGCACTGCCACCGTCCGGCCGTTTTATATACATAAACGGACGGGAAGTGGTTAAAGTGGAACTTTACACTCTCAATTGACATTGACTATTTTGAATCCTCATGAAGCCAGCATTA